TGCATTCAACAGCTCACAAGGTGGTGCCCCATAGTTAGCTAAGTTGGTTCATAACTCCCATTTCACTATGGTTTATGGCAGATATAACTATACTTTTCATGGGGTTTATAAACCAACAAACATCACTGGGGGGGCACCATCCTGCAGTCTTTAGAGGTAAATATGGCGGAAATTCTGGTCCCGGTGTCTGGAGGATCTTTGGTGAGCCTTGGGGATCATCCTCCCATCCTTGCTGATGCTGACAGGACCACCGTGCCACCGAACGGAAAGGACGTTGCGCGCCCGTTGCGACCAACGATCATCAACGATCAAAAGCTTTGAGTACTGAGTTACTGCTCGAAGAAATTGTCCTGGCCAAACATATGCTCGGACATTTCTGGTTGGTGGTTTCAACCCAACCCCTCTGAAAAATCATGGAGTGAAAGTCAGTTGGGATGATGAAATTCCCATATATGATTTATATGATGGAAAATAAAAGCCATGTTTGAAACCACCAACCAGCATTTGGATGATCTGGCAGCGGAAGAACTTCTTGAGCATTCCAGCATTCCCCCAATGGACATCAACTGGTTCATAATCTCAGCTGTTTGGGAACGCGCGGATTGGCGTTGCACACGAACCACATGGTCCTTCAGATACTTAGCAACGTTGGTGCTGTTTGGCTTGACAGTCTTTCCATCGGTAGATAGATTCAGAACCACCAACCAAATCTTGATGATCATATTTCCCACAAAAGATCCTCATAATATATGGTAAGTACATTCAAATATACAGATTTTCATATACGAACTGGTATTTTAGACTACCTCCGGGAAGGTTTTCCTTGGCCCGCCCAACCATCTAAACATACGGAATCCAATTTGTTTACACACAGATGTAAATATACGGATGGAACTGGTGTTTCATACTACCTCAGGGGCATCGCGGTCTCACGCTCCACATATTTAAATGTCGTTACCGTATGTTACCGTATCATATTTAGTCAACATATCCTCATAAAATAAAATACCATCTGGTAATTGAACAGTTCGCTATTGAAAATGGTCCATCTAGAGATGATTTACCTACAATAAATGGTGATTTTCCATAGCTATGTTAGTCATTACCAGAGGGTATATCTTGTTGATGTACCCCTCCCCTTTTTGAACTCTGACCGTTTGACCGTCTCCCAGTTCCCCCCCAATTTCACCACAGCCGTGCGACATTGCTTCACCGTTCCACTCTTCCGGTCGACCTCAGCAAAAATGACACAGGTGAGTCTTAGGGCCTTAGGGGGATTTTTGGAGAAACTTGATCTGCTTGGGGTAAGAGCAAAATTAAAGAAATACCCTCTGGTTATGACTAACATAGCCATGGAAAATCGCCTATTTATAGATGGTTTATATACCTATTAAAAATATTTTAAAATGGTGATTTTCCATGGCTATGTTGAATAACCAGATGGTACATCAAACACATCTGTACACTTTCGGGAACGTATCTGTTTGATGAATGCAACTACGCGGCAATAATCCATTATTTGACTCCAACTGTTACACCAGATGTTGACTCCTTTCATCCAAAACATTGAAGTAATGAAAATCCTGAAAAAAACACCATGAAACCTCCATTTACAATGGATTTTCCCATGATTTTCCCATGACTTTCGCGCCTTGTAACCGGGGTCGAAGTCCACCAAAATCTCCTGCGATCCGTCGGGAGGAATTCCACCCTCCTCGATGTCCGTGCTGAAGGGGTACTGCACCTGGCCCCGTGGCCCCGTGGCACCGTCTTGGTGAGAAACCTGAACAACAAAAAAAAACACGATCAAGACTTGAACAGTAATGGTTGATTATATATATATATAAACTTAAATATAATATATATATATATATATATCATATTATATATATTATATATATATATTATCATATATCAGAATTCATAATATATATATATAGCATATTTAATATATTTATGTTATGTAAAACAGATTATGATAGAATGATCGAAACAAAAAACAATGATGATTGATTCTGTGAAATTTATCACCCCCTGATTGATTAAAAACGGGAAATCCCATAGATCCCATATAGTGGATCATGGAATGATCATGATAATCCACAAGATATTGGGATTATATAATAATAGTGGTTATAATACCAATAATAGTGGTTATATATGGTTATATGATGGGATATATATCTATATCTGGTTGGTGGTTGAGCCCTACCCCTCTGAAAAATCATGGAGTTCGTCAGTTGGGATCATGAAATTCCCAATTAATATGGAAAGTCATTCAAAATTCCATGGTTCCAGTCACCACCAACCAGCCATGCACGTCAGAGACTGCAACGCTCCATCTGTAGGATTTTGGGCTTGAAGGACTTCAGATTCAGCAATCATCCCAGGTCTTTGCCAGATTTGTTGGTCGATTCAAAACCATCCCCAATCGGAGGTACACATTTATCCCATCCGAGGGCCGAGGGCCCGCAAGAAACGAAGAGATATCTCTCACCACAGTTTCTGGAAATAAGAAAAGTCCACAGGGATGACCAAAAAAATACCACCATGATTACCACCATGATATCAAGATATATCAAGTACATTCCCGTTTTTTCCAAAACCATTGTCACCACGTCTCCATAAAATTCATATCCCCATCTCCCAGGTGTAGTGTAGCTGCCGGTGAAACCGGCCAAGAAGCCAAGGAGCCCGCCTGCACCGTGAAGCGGACCTGCCGGAGCCCATATGAAAAGCCCACCCTTTGAGGCTTTTTCCAAGTCATAGCTGGCTGGATATATGAATGGTATATGAATGGATGGTTATTCCGTCAGTCATATGGTATATTAATGGAGGTTTTAATGGGAATATAGGAAAACCATAGGAAAATGGAGGTTTACCCTCTGGTAAACGTTTACATAACTATGGAAAGATCCACCATGCTATTAATGGGAAAATCCACTATTTCGACTGGGCCATTTTCAAGTTCGCAAACTGTAAACGTTTACCAGGCCGGGCAACTTGACCCATATTCATATCGGTATCGGACCTGTGAATCATACCAGCTCTCAGTGGGAGCTAGCTCTAAGAAAGGCCGAGGCAAATCTCAATTTTTTGAACATATACATATACCGCATATACCCTCCAGTAAACAAACACTTTGCGAACTGGAAAATGGACCATTTATAAGTGATTTACCTGTTAAAAAAGTGATTGTCCATAGCTATGTAAACGTTTACCAGAGGGTATAAGATCAATCTAAGATCTACACGGATATTGTTCGATGATCTTCACAATCCACCACAGAAAATAAGACATTGGAATGAGAACCAAACAGAATGGAAGGAGATGAGACTCCATTTACATCCAATCCAAGATGGGGATTAGTTACTTCGATAATCCATTCATCAATCTATTGATCCATTCATATTCATTGCTGTAATCGAAGGAGAATCCAAGTTGGGGAAAATATCTTGGGCCCACTCATAGTTGCTTCACTACTCGGTCACTTAGAGGGATCTGCAGATATCTGCAGAATCTCAGGCCTCCGAACCCAGTGAAGAACCGTCCTAACTACTCAAGAACTGGCTATCGTTTGTTGATGTGCCACTAGCAAATTTCTGATTGGTGCCCATTATTCAAGAATATTGTGTGTGTGTTTTTAATCAAGCGCCAATGAAGGTGCCAGCATGACCAAAGCGAAGAGAAACACTGGGAGGTAATGATTTCTTTGATTTTACTTAGCAAGCCCGGAGGCTGCTGGCCAGGATGTTTGGCGACTGAAAGGCCCGATTCGGGAGATAACAGCCTCCACTAGACAATATACATTGATACGATTGAAATCAGGCGGCACTATCCACCCGAGCGCGTGATAGGCATCTTTCCATGTTTCTGTTAGCCAATCCATTTCTGGTCGACCAACCCTGCTTGTTGGGAATGTTCTGGGAGAATAAGTTCTATAGCCAAATAGTACATAGCTATTGAAAATGGCCATAGAATCATTTGTGGCCTCTAGTAGGCACACTACAAGTATGCACACTACAGCTGGTTGGAAAATGAAAAAAAATAGGGAAAAATAGTGAAAATAACTAAGTACTCCAACTTATGCATTCTCCTAAACTTTGTCCCCATTTTATGGTATTTTTTCTTATGATTTTATATGTTTTTATATTGTTTTTTATTTGTTTTTATTTGTTGAACCCTTGATGAGCCACCTTCCAATGAGCCACCTTGTTCCCACAAAAGATAGAAATAGTGGATTTACCCATTGATAGCATGGTGATTTTCCATAGTTTTCTGTAAACGTTTACCAGGCCGGGTACTTGCCGAAGCTCTCAAGATATGTCCAAATCACATCAAAAACGTTTGCTTTCGCCCTGAATCTGAGAAAATTAAGTCATATCTCCATTGTATAAAGCGAAGCGCGGCCAGAACAAATACAGTATACCCATAGGATCCATGTATGGTATATATGCTAACATTTGGGGTATATTGATGGTAAATGTTACCATATATAGCATACATGGATCCTATGGGGTATATCAGTATATCTTCAATCTTGCGGCTCGGCCAGACATTTCTGCAAGTTCCATTCATTTTGCAGAATTGATTTAAACAGGAATGTACAACAAATTCCAAAAACAAAGTGATAGTCCATGTAAAACCAGGGTTTAATGTAAAACTCCATAATGTTCTTCTCAACCGAAATAGGAGTTTCCTGAGTCATGGGGATACCCCCAGTTCTCATCTATTTCAACGGGATTTTCCATGAAATAAACCATCATAAACCATCCAGCTATTGCGGTACCCCGATTATGGAAACCCTCATATGTTATCTGGTTGGTGGCTTGAACCCCTCTAAAACATCTTATTCCCAATATATGGAAAAATAAAAGCCATGTTCCAAACCACCAACCAGATATATTGTTATTCCATTTATTAACCATTATTAACCATAGATTAACCATAGATTAACCAGGAAAATTCCATGGTTCCAGTCACCACCAACCAGTTACTGTTCAGGGCAAAATTTCAGGGAAGATCTCCACCGCGCCTCCAATGGCCCCGTGTTCTCCAGTGTTAACGATTCCGTGATCGACGAGATAGGCCTCAAGAAAAAGGCATTCGGCATGACCAGTGTCGTAGACAACACCATTTATATAAATAGAAGTACAACAAAAAGGGATCTTAAGCCCCATTTTTGTTGGGATATGACATGAGGTAAATAGTGATATCAAAAAATAGGGATCTTAAGCTCCATTTTTGTGATATGACATGATATATCATGATACAACTTTGATACAAGCCCTAAAGCTGTGGTTATGTCAGAACTAGAATAGAACTGCACTTCCCTAGACTATCTGGTTGGTGGTTTCAACCCAACCCCTCTGAAAAATGATCGACTTCGTCAGTTAGGATTGTTATTCCGGATCTATGGAAAATCATAATTCATTCCATGGTTCCAGTCACCACCAACCAGTGATTATTAACCATCATTAACCAGTGAAAAATCCCTTTTTTCATGTTCCAAACCATCACGTTTGTCCACGTTTGGCACACGCGCTGCCTTAGTCAGACGAAGGCAGCCCTTTGACTGCAGAACTACGAAGCCATAGAAGCGCTTGGCAGTGGCAAGCGGTCCAGTTCCCTTGTCTGCCGGCGAAAAGGCACGGATGAGAACTTTGCCATCCATCGATCAACATGCTCAAGGCGTTGTGGGTTCCAGGGAACCGCAATGCAGCTGGAGTGCATACACAGCATAAGGCTACTAGGCCGGCAGTACTGGGCAGAAAACGGCAAACCCCCATGTCGCAAAATCTCCCTCAGCACTTTACCAAACCACCTTACCCTCTCCTTAAAGCCAATAGGCCGGAGAGCGTGCAACGGCACATCCTGGCTGTCTTTCCATCCATCAATGTGAACTGGGCCAGAGTCTCCTGTCTGAAGTCCATAGTCAATGTACAACTGAGCATTCGAAATCCATTGCACAGGCCCTGGATCATCGGACACTGCCTTCCAAAACCACATTGTCATTTTAGCCACAACAGCTTCGCCATACCACCGAACAGCACCCTGCGGCATCACAGGATCAGTGGGCAGGGGTGTCCAGGAAGGAGCAGGAGGTGGCTCAGGCATTGGAACATCCTGGGGCATTTGTCGCCCTTCATGTAATACATTACGACTCACTTGCAGCAGAACATTCTGGATTGACGCATTCCACCTGTCACACGTCTGACACGCTCGGGAGTGCACTGCAAGCAGGTTCCAAAACTCTTTGGGTCTGCGTTGATTGGCAGAGGCCGCTGCCCTGTCAGCAAACCTGTTGTGTTTAAAGCACCATTCTTCCAAAGGTGATGCAGCAGCAGCAAGAGACTGATGGGCAGCAACTTTCGCGACCTGCACATGACACCCACCTCCATGAATGTCCTCAGCAATCAAACTCCACAAGTCTGCATTGGAAGAATTGATCTTAACCGGGGCTCCAAGACAAATACGTCGCAACCTGCGCACAACATTCAAGCAGTCAGACCAAATCATCAGACTAACTCCGTGATATGCAGCAAACTTGATAGCGCGATGAACGGCAAAGAGCTCTGCACGCAGTGAGGTCTGACGAAGACCTGGTAATGGTCCACTCTCAAGAATACATGCATGTTCAGTAGCACTCGAGTCAACAAGAATTAAGGCATAGGAAGCAAACCTCAAATCAGGGTATTGTGGATGACAGCAGCTACCATCTGTGAAAATATGGAACTGAGACTGAAAAGGCCACGGAATCGCAGGTATCACGGGCGGGACCAGTTGCAGAAAATAGGAGTACCAGGAATGAAATGTAGAAGGTCGAAGGGCCCAACCATAACAAGTCACACTCTCTGGCAGGTCAGGGATAGCAGCCATAAGGTCCGAATCAATTCCCTGACGGCACTCCTCACAGACGCCACAACCCCAAAAGCGGTGGAACCGAGAGTCTGAGCAATCACAAAACTGGCAGACATCTGAATCCGCTTCCTGGCAATAATGCTTCCCATCTTGTGTCACATGAGCACCATTGAGAATTTTCCGGTAGGCTGCCCGGTCTGAACAATTCAATTTGGACAGCCATGCACGAGTGCGGGCAGGATCAATTTGCCAAAGACCAGAAAACCCTGGACGGTGAGCAACGCAAGCAGCAACTACTTTGAGCCATGCCCACTCCATGCGCCAACGAAGCTCAGCAATACAAATGGAGAACAGATTGAAAGGCCCAAAGTCATCCGAAAGGCAGTGTGGCGAGGACACATGCCACCCAAAGGTTTGAATCCGTGTCAACACCGTCGCAGTAATGCCATTATTGGCATAAGCTTCATCACCAGTTGCCAGAGCAAATAGGGCGGGGTGCACAACATCTTCAATGCCACATTCCCGGACCATTTTGAAGGTCTGATAAATGGACCAAAAGTGCGGGTCGGTCAAAGGGGATTCCAATAACCCTAAATGAACCATAGCATTGCAGCCTGCGCCGTCTGCGTTTAACCCCTTCATTGCACCAGCTCTCAACGAAGCAAACGTTTGGAGAGAAACAGTCGTCGCCGCTATGGCATGAAGGCCTTTTGGCCATGCTGCGGCCCGAATGGCTTGAACTTTCACTTCGTACGCTGCTGCAGACAATTTGAGCTTAGGCCAAAGAGGCTGAAGAGTTGAAACACGAGCAGTTTGGGTAGCATTAGTATGCTTGCGTGACACCTGAACATGTGCCCCAAGCAGCTTGCAGTTGGTAGCAACACGAAACCCTTGTTCAACCAAACTTTTGCGACCTTTACCACTGGTGGACCAAGCAAAAGTCTTCTTGGAATCAAGCATGAGGTCAAGCGCATCAGTAAAGCGTGAAAGGCAGGCAAAGACTCCGGTCATCAAGGATGGATCTGTGATCAAAATCGTCCAATCGTCCACATAGGAGACAGGCTGACATAAAGGAAAGAAATGCTGGTGCCAGAGATGAAACAAAACGTCAATGATCACCATCCCAAGGCAGGACAGGCCATCACCTTCAGGTAATCCTGTGGTGCTAAACACGGGTTTGGTTAAACCCTGGCCAAGCTGAAACCGCCTACTGATCAAGGTCAAGGCACCAGCCCAAGCAGTCAAAAGAGACATGGGAATGCCCAACAGTGCAGCAGCTTCAAATACAACTAGCCTCGGCAAATGATTGAAAGCTTTCTGCAAGTCAGCCATCAAACCAGACAAGGCAATACCATGGATGGTAGCATCTTCGACTGCCCAGAGCAACTGGCTCCAAACTTGACCTGCAAATCGGGCAGGTCTGCTTCCATAAAGGGAATCAGGCAAATGAGCATCAAGGGCGCGAATCGCTCTTCTGGCATGATAAGAACCCCACACACGGTACAACATGCCAAGGACCGTGCTAGGGCGGTAGTCCAACACTGTACGGGGTTCATCAGTTTTGGCAAGGCAAGCAACACGCCCCATTAAAAGCTGTGATGGCCAAACCCCTGTATCTTCGGCTTCACGATACATAGAGCAAACATTCTCAATGGCACTGCGAGGCAAACTTTTAAGATCTGCGATAGACACTCCATCCAGACCACAGGCAGAGCTTGACTTTTTAGCGGCAATCAACTGAGACAAGACGTCAGGTGTGATTGCAGGCCAACTGAACTGAAGGCGTGGCAAGGCTTGACGGGCAAAATCCAAGATTGTAGCCCACCGGTTATCAGGGACATCTTTATGCCGCTCCCATCGAGCTTTCCACTCATCAACAAACATCTTTTCCAAGTCAGTCTGAGTCCCACTACACTGAACCTGAGAAATCACATCCCCAGGCTTGAGTGCAGAGGAGTCGTCAAGCCATATGCAATCAGGTTCCACATGGATCAGCGACAAAGGCAATCCCTGGCAAACAATTGGTCGGTCATGTGACCACTCATGCGGAGGCTCCAAAACAATAGAGTGATCAGACTCATCAACTGAAACAATGCTGGACTGAATAGGGCGAATAAGGTAATCCACCCCACTACTTTGCATTGGGCGAAGGTCTTGAAAAATTAATCGAGGATTGCGAGCCCTACGCAAACGTGCATACTGGCGGGACGTACTGATGAGTTGGGACTCCAAAGACCGGACCTGCAAAGCCAACGTCTCAAAGATCCGAGTAGCAATCACACCAGAAGGCGGAACCCAAGGAATTTGCAAAGGAGCACCATGCACTCGATGCGGACATCTAGACCACCACTGAACAAATCCACCAGTGAAGCCCTTGGCACGAACAATTGCAGCCCAGACCGAAACAGCATAATGGCTATGGGAACCATCGGCTGAGCAACTACGGACAAAAGCCTGAAGTCTCCGCACCTGACGAACCCAATGAGCATGACGAAGGGAGCTTCCATGGAACTGAGGCTGAAAATCACCTTTACGTCCAACCCTAACATGTGGGTGAGCACCAACCTTAGCAGGTGAAGTGGAAACTGTGTTAGCACGACCACATGACCGCTTAGGCACCGGAAAAGGCAACTCACGCTGAGCAGCATCTTCAACCGCCTTCCAGAACACTCGATATTTCTCATCTGGATGGGCGTCCATCTGAGTCCAAAGATTGGGATCAACATACCACTGCGCAGGCCAAGGAAATTCACAAGGATTCTTCCAAATCTGCCGAGGAATGCACGCACGGAAGCGTTGAAACTTGCCCTGGAGGATTGAGTGATCGGGCCAAACATCGTCCAAGACCGAAACATCAACCAACACTTCTTGTAATTCCGGGCTTATGAAGCAGAAATCCTTCCTTGTCTTACTTTTGCAAGTGGGGCGTGGTGGAATGCCCCACCTTTCGGCAGCAAGCTCTTGCAAGTCTTTGAAACCCAACTGGGAAAGGGTGTCAAATGCAGGAATCTCACCCATAGAAACATTCCAATCCCCTGCGATCACCCGCGGTCCAGAGGAAAGAAAACCCACTGATTCAATAGCTGACTGCAACAAAGACTCATTATGCTGCAACCTATAAGGGTAATGCTGGCTGTCAGGCTCACCATAGACCACTGCCCCAGTTAACCACACATCATCAATCAAGGTGGTGTAGGCCATTGCACGGGACGAACACTGGATAGCGTCAGGCCAATTCTTGGGAATATGACGGACAGGCGTCTTGGAAAGAACTCCGACTCCCTTCCATGATCCAGCATTGTCCCTGGAGGGCGGAACAGGAAAACCCCCAAGCAGGGGAGCAAAAGGCGAATGAGCAAACTTCAATCCTGCATTAAAAGTATGCAGTTCACGGGAACTCAGGTGTGTCTCACTGAAGGCCCACAAATCCCCATGGGCCATGTGTTCAGTGACATACATAGATTTGCAGCGCAACCCAGTTGGATTGGCAACCCCCAAAATGAAATGAGCATCGGACGGGCCAGGATGAGAAGCTTCTCCCACCCTAACAACAGAGAGGAATACAAAAACCACGGCGAGCCACTGTGGGCGGGCAAACTTGGCAAACCTCATCAACGATGCAATCCCCAAAATGAAAAATGCCATGGGCATCAGAGCCACCAGACAAAGGTGAGCAACCACGGAACAACCCTGAATAGGGTCCAGGCAAAGTGGCTCCTGCCCCCCCCATCATTCACATTCATCACGAGGTCTCTTCGATAACAGCCCTCGAATGTGTGAGAGTTGATTTTCGAACATTGCTTGAATACTCTGATTCTGAGATTCAATCTGGCCATGAAGCTGTTGAGTTTGAGTCTGCAATTGGACCTGCAGATTCGAAACCTGCTGGGTCTGCTGGGTCGTGAACTCAACAAACTGGCCATCCATCTGTGTCTGCTTCTGAATGAGTTGCTGAACCTGACATTCAAGCACACAGATACGATCCGGAACATCATCCTGCTCCATAGGCACAGACTGGGAGTTTCCAGTGGGCAGCTTGGCAAGTACAGCAGCCTGAATACGGGACTCCATCTGCTGCATGCTATCGGTTGGAGCTGTGGTGACAGATCCTCCACCAGTCGAAGGTTGAAACTTCTGCCATGGGTCATGCTGGGTCCAGGGATCTTCATCACGTCCACCTTGTCCACCACACAGAGCCAACGTGGCAGGGGCAGCAATGGGTTTGCCACCCACTTGACGGTCACCTCCATCAACCAACTTTTGCTTGGAGATCAAGATCTCACCATGGCTAGTGTGTACAATCGCACTTGGAGGCTCCTCGACTGCTTGAACGACCCACATAGCTCCACGTCCAGGCTGAGGGGCAGCTGGTTGCAAAGGTTTACAATGCCAATTGGCCTGCTTCATAGCCTTGCAAATTCCCTGCCTGTCGATGCCAAAGGGAAAAGGCCCAACAATGTAAGTCACACGAGCTCCTTGTGGCAGAAATAGGGTATCAGGACGAACAACCCTATGCACTTCCTGGGCTTGGTCAGAGGAAACCCTGAGGCCCCTTCTGTCAGCTATACGCGCAAGACCAACAACTGCAGGATTGGTTTGCTTCATATGCATGAGCTCACGGTGGGACATCCGAGAAATCCAGATCACCATGTAGTCCTGCAACACTTTTTGACCATCAGCAGACCTGGGCTCAACATAAGCACCTGCGACACCACTCCGATTCAAGATCCGTTCCAGCAGGCAGACAGGAACCCGAATAGAGACACAAAACATGTCAGCTTTAGATGCCTCGGCAGGTTTGTACCCAAATTTCATGAACTGCCTCTTCCAGAGGTCCAGGATAGGTTCCTTGATGGGCAGACCCTCTTCATTGTGCCAAGAGCTGCAATTGCACCCTTGGATGGTGCACCTGCGTAGCTCAGGGAAAAGGGAAACAAGCCTCTTGACAGGCGCTTTCACAAATGCATCCCAGTCATCAGTTTCATCTTTGTACACATTGATACGCAAGGTACAAACATCAGGGGACTCCAATGCAACCAAGTTGGACCCTGCAAACTTCTCTACGACCCCTGTCCCAAGTTGAACAAGAGTGGCTTCAGCCAAAACTGGTTCATTGTCAACTGTACATCGGCATGGAACGGTCACCTTGGATTGAGACAGCATCGATTGAAGCACCTGATCAGACCGATGGAAAACCACGAGTGCCAATGGCTCCTGAGACACAATCTGGCCTGCACGCAGGTAAGGCTCAGCCTCTTGTGCTGTCATCAACACAATCCCAGAGCTGATAGGGCCGATCTGTTGCGGAGACAGCTGTGGCAAAGGTTGAAGAGCAGCCCTAAATGTACCATCAAGGACACAAAGTTTGGATGGATCCAGGTCAATCGGTGGAGGAACACCTGGGGCTTTCTTGTCTTTGTGGGACCTCTTACCAACAGGCTTACCTCGATTGTGAGAGATGGTAGCTTCCAATTCAGCAGGCAAAACCAACTTGAAGCCAACATTGGTGGCCAATGCCTTCAACTGACGCCAAGGCTTATTCTGCTGCATTGCTTTGGCAAGCGGCTCATTCCCAACAATTTTGATGGCCTGGGCAGCCCGGGTTTCGGCAAGGTCAGAGGGAACACCATGGAGAGACAATTCCTCAGCCAAAAGCTTGGTTAGCGATCCAGTCCCGCCATTTCCCCACACAATCGGGCAAATGCACATACGCATTTCATACATGGCTTGCACAAATGCAGCACGCAGATCAGTGGACATCATATCAAGTGTAGACACTTCAGTTGGTAGGTCAGTCCCCAACAAAATGTGCTCAAGGAAAGCCAAGGCATGAACTCCACAGAAGTCATGTGAGGGAAGGCCATGAGGGACTCGATGAATGACAACATCAGAGAAGCCCAAATGAAGGCCCATCCAACGCAATTTGCCGTCAAAAATGTCATAGTCCAGAATGTCATCAAAGGTATGGAAAACCAAGACTAAGCCAGCAGGAACAACCCAAAGGGGAATCCAATGAGTTCCCTCTAAGACAACAGCCACAATTTGATGCCCATGTGACCGAACCTGAGGGCAGTTTTGACACCACTTTTCAGTGAGGATATGACCAACCTGATCCCAGTTGAGGAAATTCAACGCTTCAAAGGCCACAACACATGGCATGTGTCTGTCCGAGCTGGCGGGCATCGAAGCTCTTCTCTGAACAAGATCTTGCAGGTGAAACCGGATTTCATCATCACCCAAAGCCTTACCATGGGTTGCAAACAGATCAATCCTTGCATTGACATCAATGCAGACATGAGACGCCAGGCAAGCAGCACCATCATCAGGGAGAACGAAAGGTGCAGTGGAGGGAACTCCCCCAGTAGAAGAGTCAGGAAGGCCCGAGGCATCCTCAACAGGGTCTTCAGACCTCCAGGATGTTTCAGAAGCTTCATCATCACCAGAGGCCCAGATCCATGGACGGCTTGTCAAATGCTCATCAGACAGTGCACGGACAAATTGTGATCGCAGCTCCGAGTGCGCTTGCCACACAGCTGCATAAGTAAGAACCCTGCCAGACAAGCCCAACCTGTAGGCAACATACTTGACGGCTGCAGCACCACAAGCTGATCTGCATGAAAAAGGGCGAACCTCATGATCGAAGCGGAGGCTCTCAAATCCAATGGCAAGGGCAAAGGACACCAGGCAGTTGATAAGGGCCGCAGGAAGACCATCAGTAAAATCACTGGATTGGACCGAAAGGACATTGCCAGCAGGAAACAACACAAGGGGAATCCAATGGCCATCAATGCGAACGGCAGAAATCAAGATTTTCTGATCACGATGAACATTCCGGTACATACTGGCCCATTGATCACTCGGAAGTGAGCTGGGGACCAACCATGAGGACGTAATCAAGGGATCAAGCACAGACACCTGCGAAATCATCTGACCATGTTGCAATGTCTGGCATACAGCTGCAATGGCATGCATGTGAAATCGGATTTCATCATCGGCCCACAGACCAAATTGAGCTTGCAAAATGCGTTGGCGGGAACGGGACTCAATCAATTGCAGTCTGAGGTTACTCATTTGGTGGATGTCAGACACCGGAGGACATTCAAGTGCACTCAGTTGCTGTCCATGCATCGCACATAAGTGAGAGGCATCAACACAAACTCCGGAAAAACCCACAGGAAAAGAAACATGAGCTGCAGAGTCATGCAAAGCTTCAGCAGGAACCTCACCCGGGGGACCATCACACTCATCACGACTGCCAGCACCCCAGAGCCAGGGCCGGGGGACTTCCGCCTTTTGGCCAATGTGTTGCATGAATCTCCTCCTCAAGACATGGTGCTCCTCCCATGCAGAGAAAGTTGTACCAAGCCTGGGTACGCCCGTCACTTGACTACGCAAGAAATTGAGTGCAACGGCACCACAAACGCTTTTGACCGCAAATGTACGATGAATGTGATCAAAGTGGATCTCAGTGAATCCAAGTGCATGAGCAACCCTAGTCAAGCAGGCGGCAAGACACTGGGCAAGGTCGGAGGTAGAATCAAAGGACGCAATCCGAATATTTTCCCCCCACGGAGTCAAGAGAATTGGGATCCAATGCTGATCAAAGCACACCGCACCCACAATTTGCAGGCCATCCTGAAGGATTTCAGGGTGAGTGGCAGCCCAGTCTGTGCAGTCAAACGAGTCCATGTCAAGCCATGCATGCGCGATAACAGGATCAAGGATCACAATGCGCTTGGGTGGAAATTCCACACCACTTTCACATTCAGCGGCAATGGCGTGCAAATGAAAACGAATCTCATCGTCAGCAACAACACCTTGTTGGTGTCTCAACAGAGTCAATCTATCTCTTGACTGCATGAATTGGTTACGCATGGACCAGAGCTTGGTGGGGTTTTCAATGGGAGGGCATTGAAAAGCAAGCATCTGCTGGGAACTCATCGCTAAGAGATCAACAACATCCCAGTCAATACTTGCCCATCCTTCACTACTGTAGGCTCCAACATCAAACAGTCCTCGAACACTCCGTGGATGGTTCGCAACATCAGGGTCCCCCCCAAACTGCAAAGGAGCAACAAAATGGTTAATCACGTCAGGATGTTCGGGGCCACCCTGCAAGAGGCCAAGTCCAACGGGCATTATAGGGAGTGGCCCGGATTCCCTGTCAGGACTTTCAACATCAGGAGCAGGCACGGTGCCAAGTGCACTCCGACTACCCTCTGGCAAAGGACGAAGAGGTGATCTGGATCTGGATCTCAGTAGGCCTCCTTCATGTACATTGACAGTAATCGCTGGTCCCTCATTATCAGAAACGACGGCATCACGTTCATCAGGACATGACCCCTCCTGAAGGGAAGGGTCAGACTGCGGAGAGAAAACGTCAAACACACGACCAACGGTTCCTTGCAGCACCTGGCCAAACTCCGAGCTACCAGCTGAACCACCCTGGAGAGAGTCATGATGAGGAACACCATCCTCAGAACCCTCAGAGTCAACATCACCAGAGCCCCAGAGCCAAGGTCGAGGGATCTCAGCTTTGCGTCCAATGTGTTGCATGAACTTCCTCCTCAGGAAATGATGCTCTTCCCATGCTGAAGCAGTCGAACAAAGTCTTGGACAGCCAGTCAATTGACTTCGCAAGAAGTTGATGGCAACGGCTCCACAGACACTCTTGGCAGCGAACGTGCGATGAATATGATCAATGAAAATTTCGGTAAACCCAAGAGCATGAGTCACTCGAGTGAGACAGGCGGCAATGCTGAGCAAGGTCAGGTGTGGCATCAAAGGAAGCAATGCGAATGTTTTCACCACATGGAATCAGGAGAACAGGCACCCAATGTTGGTCAACACGAAACACCCCAATGATTTGCAGACTGTCTCGTAAAACTTCAGGATGGGTGGCAGCCCACTCTGTACAGTCAAAAGAGTCAGCATCCAACCAAGCATGGGAGACGATCGGATCAAGGACCATCACTCGCATGGGCGAGAAATCCACACCACCCTCGCATTCAGAGGCAATTGCATGCAAATGAAATCGGATCTCATCATCAGCAACAACACCTTGTTGATGTCGAAGTAAGGTAAGTCGATCCCTAAGATGCATGACAAGATTGCGCATAGACCAAAGCCTGGTGGGGTTTTCGATGGATGGGCATGGAAATGCAAGCATTTGTTGAGAGCTCAGGGCAAGCAGCTCAGCAACATCCCATTCAATTCTGACCCACAGTTCGCGACTATACGCCCCCAAGTCAAACAGACCACAGGCACTTCTTGGATTGTTGTCAACGGCATGATTGAGCACAAACAGAACATGGACAACTTCCTGATTCACCAACGCTGGGTACTTGATATACCTTGGCAAACGAACAGGTTCATCGGGCATTATAGGGAGTGGCCCGGATTCCCAACACAGGCCGTCTGCATCGGGAGCAGGCACGGCAGCAGGATGCGAATCAACCGTAGGCAGGCATTGGGCAGGAGGAGATCTGGACCGAGATCTGGATACTCCAAAAGAGGGATCGGCATGAGCAAGGCTCGAGACACCACAAACATCGGCAGAGGCACTGCTTTCACTCAAGCTCTCATCCTCAACAAGGGAGGGATCAGACTGGGGAGAGAAGACCTCAAATACTCTGCCACTGATCCCAGATGAGGCATGGCCAATGTCACCACAACCAGCAGAAGTACTAAGGCCAGGATCACCGTGAGATGACTCCTTGTCGGCAGAACCTTCATGTTCAATGTCCCCTGTGCCCCAAATCCACGGCCGAATGACAAATTCAGTTTTGGACAAAAGGGTAACGAACTTATGTCGCAGCTGGATGTGCATTGCTTCAGCCTCGTCAGCAGATGTCACGAGTTGTGATTGAAAAATGGCACTGTGCAGGAAATTGATGGCCAACGCTCCACACCGGTCAGAAGTGGGCACCAGTCTTTGTTGTCGAGACACCAACACAGATGAGAACCCAAGACACTTTCCAATCTTCTCCAATACAATGTTCAGGCAAGAATGATCATTCTGCGGAGCATCCCAAGTAAAAATATTGACATGGTCATTGCAAGGGACAAATTGAAAAGGGACCCAATGCGTGAGAACCCTACAAACTCCAACGACTTGAACACCTTCAGACTTGATCATGGAATGGGAACTAGCTCAAGTGCCAATGGGGAATGCCCTATCTTCAACCCAAGCAGTAGCCAGGAGCGGGTCCAAGATAACCACATTGCAATAGGGTCCCCCAACCGGAGCAGTGGAGGTAAGCATTGCAAGATGATACGCAATTTCATCATCAGACCAAATGTTCCCCTGAACTTCCAACAACGCAAGACGGTCAACTGCACGAATGAATTGCTGTCGGAGGGCTGTGAATTTGTGGCCATCGTCAATGATTGGAACCGCCAAGCGAAGAAATTGCTTCTCAGACAGTGGCAACAAAGCTGAAACCAACCCACCAGTCGGCGTATATGGCAAAGTACTAGAGACTCCAACAAAGGATCCAACCATGTCACACTCATCAACTTTGGCTTCCCATGGGATAGTGGGGGAGATTGGGCATGCATCAACACTACTGGAATCAGGCTTAGCACAAGGAGCACAATCTTCCTCCATGGGAAAGTCACCAGGCTCCTCCACATGCGCTTCATCCCGAACCGGAAACAAGCCTGATACATGTGCATTCTCACCGGAAAACACCTCAAATGGGAAAAAGGAACCTTGTTCACATCCAGAGAGGAAAATCTGAATACACTGTCCAGGAAGGATGGCATGATCAAGAGACAGGACTCTACCAAGAGCATCATTGGCAAGTTGAACAGTCAAATCACCTGTCAGCTTGGCATGCGCACCAAGAACGTCAGCAATAGTGGTCCCTGGTTGAAACTGGAACCGTAGGAAGTCACCGAATCTGTCAATCAGTTGAACCTCATTGGAACCAATCTGCAGGGTGAGGTCACTACACACTCCAAGCACTGGTGTGTCAAACCATGGTGTCTCAGGTTCTTCACTAGGCACGGCAGAGACTGATCCCTGTGTTCGGCGGATTAGCACATCCAGGGCACAGGCAACAGACATGCGAAAATCCGAGACTTCAGGCCATTGTGGTGCATGAACGACTTGCCCAAGGGACAGGGAACGAATGTCCTTCCAGAAACGCACTAGGCCAAGCAGCTGCTTGTCCTGTATTACTTCCTGGTTACATGGCCATGTTTCCTGACACTTCATCACCAACCATGATCGGAATGCCTGCAATTGAGAAACCGAGTCAAAGTCACTAGATCCTTTTTGCAACATGGCGATCCTAGCTGTGACAAAACTAAGAACAGGCAGCTTGCAGCGGACTGGCGATCTGACCGACTCCAGACAAAGACAAACGAACATTAAGACCCAGGTCAATGGTACAATCCATCCCATTGAGAGCCAAGGCTTCAGAGGGATGCACATGACGCACAGGCTGGTCAGAAATGGCTTCGGAGGCACTGGAGACCAACAAGCCGAAAAGGCCTTTTTCCCTAAGGCGAGTGGGGGACAATCCAAAATCACGGCATCCACATGGGCACCCTCGCAATTGGGATCCCCAGGCATGCAAAGCAGTGGGGGCCACACCTTCAGCATCAAGGAGATAATGCGGATATGAACCATCGTCAACACCAAAGGCTTGTTTCTCATTTGAGTCTAAACTCAATGCCATCTCGTCTCTAGGATCCCACTTGCAAATGTAAGGAATCAGGCACTGAACTTTGGGAAGGCTATCCAGAACTGGCCATTCAGAGAGACCCATCTTGCCCAAGCTTGAGTCGAACATGAGCCACCAAGTTCTATGACGCCGACATGGCCAAACGGTTTGAAGATCCAAGTTGACAGTCTCAGTGGTGAAGCCCATGAGAGATGCAAAGCTATCAAGCTGTTGTTTCACAAATGGGTCAGATCGGGCAGGCACAACGCATTCCAGGACAAGCACTTTGATTTGCATCAAGTGGGCAGCTCGGAGCAGTTTCGGAAGAGTTTGAGCACGAGGGTCCAAACCCCCACGACGATCACCCAACTGTGAGAATGGTTGGCATGAAAACCCTGCACACATCAAGGCGGCGCTCTGACTCCGACTCCACACCTCGGCCACAACCTGAGGATCACCGATGTCACCGGTAACATGATCACTGCAAACATGGACCTTGTGTAATTCGGACATACATGCATTGACATCCATTGCAACTGTGGGGACGATCCCAACAGCCAAAGCTCCATGTGAGATGCCTCCCAAGCCACTGCATGCATCGATCATCTTGAAATAGTCAGACCAGGTAGGAATCCCGTGATGAAGGACCTTTGTCTTGTCACTGCACTCCAGACACACCACAGGAAATTGGCGAATCAACACTGCATCGATCACCGTGATGATCCTGTGTCCACCTTCCACCAGACCCGAAAACTGAACCAGCTTATCGTGAGCCTTGTCAACAAGCAAGTGTCGTTCGTGACCTGGATCAAGGGAGACAACCTCCAACACCAAGGAGATGAAACCACCAGAATTGACCTCAGAAGGGTCCATAACCAGCGCCATGGCACAAACACCGCAAGGCTAAACCACAATGTTCAGCCAGGCCCGCCACACCCCTGGGAGGAATTGAGCCCGTGGCTTGTTCCAAACCATCAACCAGCTAGGAATGTGGACAGCGACTTGATGTGTCGCAATCCAATGGGCTCAGCCCGGCTCAGCATCCTTTGAAGGCTGGCATTGGCCAAGTTGGACCCCCGACCAATGACCCAAATCATCACCCATAGGATCCATGTATGGTATATATATATGCTAACATTTGGGGTATATTGATGGTAAATGTTACCATATATAGCATACATGGATCCTATGGGTCATATGATCCTGCGTATATTTCATGGAGATAGCTCCCCTTGTTAGATATGATCAACGGAGAGTCACGGTCATCGAGAGATATGCTAATGGCCACAATGATCAGCCCTGTTCAACCTCCAAGGTTGCCACATTTACCGACCCATCTTCCGACCTCTGCTTGTCCCAAAGGAACTCGAACTCGATCCTGTTTCGTGAGAGCCTGGGCCGTGGCAGGAACTGACTGTGTGAAAAAATATCCTCCAATAAACCCACATAGATAGCATAGATATGGTTGTAGAGATGGAAAAAATAATGAAAAAATAGATATGTTATATGTATGGAAATTGGAAAACATCATGGGAACACTATTGGTCTTGTCTTAAGATCATGGGAACACCTCCAATGCCGTCGTGTTTACTCTCTGGTAAATTAGAACCTCAAAATCAAGCCCTATCTGGCAGGGGCCAGAAGTGAATTTGGGTGCAAAATATGGGGCACCAGCATCCTGGCACCAGCTCAGGGCCAGCGCGGAGGCGATTTGCTTCTCGCGGCTTCTGGATGGTAGGATCTGAAGGTGAAACTTCCTCTGGTGGTTACAACCCATCTGAAAAATCATGGAGTTCGTCAGTTGGAATGATTATTCCCAATTAATATGGAAAGTCCTGTTCCCCATGAAATCTGCAATGTTGATCAATTTCTGTGCAAAGTTATTCTGCTAAAATGTCCTGGGAAGTGGGAAGGTTCCAGATCTGAGACTGGTGTGGACCACCGATCAACATCCCGCCCCGAAATGTCCGGGTTGTCTCAAAACAGTGTATCCCCCATGCCATCCCCATTGTTCATCCCTATGATCCTATGTTCCCTATGTTGAAATTGCCATGAAACGGAAAACCCGGGACTCCCGGCTTCAACTGCGGTGCCACGAAATTGGCTCTCATGCGAGTCCTTTTTCTATGGGTTGGCAGCCCGGAGAGACGAAACTCCGGGAGGTCCCTTATAATTCTTATTCTGGGATTATATAATAATAGTGGTTATAATACCAATAATAGTGGTTATAATACCAATAATAGTGGTTATAATACCAATAATAGTGGTTATAATACCAATGATAGTGGTTATAATACCAATAATAGTGGTTATAATACCAATAATAGTGGTTATAATACCAATAATAGTGGTTATAATACCAATAATAGTGGTTATAATACCAATGATAGTGGTTATAATACCAATAATAGTGGTTATAATACCAATAATAGTGGTTATAATACCAATAATAGTGGTTATAATACCAATAATAGTGGTTATACCAATAATAGTGGTTGTATATGGTTATATGATGGGATATATGATCATACTGGTTGGTGGTATACCTACCCCTCTGAAAAATATGAGTTCGTCAGGTGGGATGATGACATTCCCAACTGAATGGGACAATAATCCAAATGTTCCAAACCACCAACCAGTATTTAGATGGGTATAGGTCAAGACATATCAAGACCTAATATAATTAACCATATGACTGGGAAAATACAAATCCAGCTATACCAGCTACGACTTAGGGTATCTAGGGTGCCAAGTTTTTGACTCATAATGCCGTATCTTTGGAAAAACCCTTCAAATGGACTCAAAACATGTCAAAACGTATGAAAACCCATTGGAAGTTGTCGTTTTCAGCCAGACCATTTTGGTTCACCTGGCTGTCCACCATGTGGGTGTTGGACATGGTTGCCATCCCAGGTACGTTTAGGGAGTAAATTGGCAAATTGTACCGTCAAAATGGCTAACAATGTTCTCCGCTTTCCTGAACTATCAAACAAACCAAAAATGGTCGACATCCCATATGCTCCATGTATGGCAAATTTACCTACATGACTGGGTGATTTTGGGCAAGGGCAAATGTTGGTATATAAATATTCCAGCACCATGGGTCGCATATGGGTTTTCCATGGGTTTTCCCTGGAATTTCCCCATGGTGCCACGGTGGTTACTTTTCCCCATGGTGCCATCGGGTCCTGAAGATCGTTTTGCCTCCGCCACCCTTCTCCACGATCTCGGTGCAAACCAACTCGTCCTCACATGTTTTTTCGGGATCAAAGGGGATGACCAGCCCAAAAAAAAACTAAACGAAAAACCTATGAAAATTTACTATGAACATTCCTAGTGACATAGTGATCAATTGCACTTTTAAGCTGCATCTTTTAGGCTTTGAAGATGAGATTTGGCTAAAAATTCCGAATCATCCCCATGGTACACCCCATAGGGATTTAGCATCCACAGACGTGATCTACGGAAGCCAAGCCCAGTTCACCACAAACAAGCCATCCCCCTGTTGGCTAAACACCGGGTTTGGTCCAAAGACGTGATGCGATAGTAATTGCTACTAGGAAGGGATTACGATGTTAACATTGGTTGATGTTAGTGGTACATTGATAATGGGTTAACATTGCGATAGCAATTGGTACATAGGGACTCATCACCATGTTAACCATGATTTCTGGTCAGTGATGAGTCCCATGGACGGTAAAAACTCCAGCTGGGCGACCAACCTTTCTGCCCGAAAAGTCCAGCCTTTTTCAACATACCATCTGGATCCATCTGGTTATTTAACATTAATAGATGGAAAATGGTCCATAGAAATAGATGATTACCATCTGGTTATGACTAACATAGCCATGGTATAGATGGCCCATAGGAATAGATGATTTTCCCAGCTAGAAACCTCCATTTATCAGGGATTTTCCATGGCGAACTTAGTCAGTCATAACCAGATGCTACCCCTGACGCCATCCAGTGCCGTCCTCCACCACTCCCGGGTTCTGACTCGAGGCCATGAAAGTGAACCTGCGAAAATGTCGAGACCAAAGTCGGTGTTTGAACATGGGGGGATGAAGCTCCGCGTCTGGCCATCAAACAATAGAAAAACATGATACAAGGTGGTGCCCCATAGTTAGCTAAGTTGGTTTATAACTCCCATAACTATGGTTTATGGCAGATATAACTATATAGTTAATGGGGTTTATAAACCAACTTATAACTGGGGGGCACCATCCTGTAAACCACCGGATTTGTTGTTTTTTTCCCAAAACAAAAAATCCAGTCAAAAGTCAAAACCATGTTCAAAGTCGCCCAATCGCTAGTCCATTTGCTGCAAGATACCCAACCCTGAGCCACTCAGAAACAGGAAGTTGGGTTCTAAACGGGCTGAGGTCGCTCTGCTATTTCAAACGTGTAAGATTCACACTTGCAGGGAAGGATAGAAAAGTCAGACTCAATCATGGTGCTTAAATCATGGTCAACCTTAGATACACGCAAGATCATAAACTCGTTGGTTCATATCCCCATTGGTGGCAAAAAGCTTTTCACCAAGGTCTACCCAGCTCCCTACTTCATGTTGGAGAACCAATTTGTACGGTAAATTCCATTTCTTAAACTGAGGGTTTCTTAAAATGGGAAGGGGGGTACCCCAAATCATCCTTAAATTCAACCAGCTTAGTATTGAAACCCATGGTGACTAACCGGGGATCCACCATCATAAGAGACACCCCCAAATGTGGGGAAACCACTCAAATTACGGACAAATCCAAGGCGATGTTCCCATATTGTGCTGAAATCATCTATGAAATCCCCAAAAATCGATATATATATAATAATCCACAACAAAATAGTCCCATATGATTGATGATGGACATATATATATACCATTTATCATATTCCTATAATATATATATATATACATATCAATCATTTATCATATTCCCATTATATATTATCTATATATTCCCATATATTTCCATGATATATCATACATATTATATTCCCATTATTATATATCTGGGTAAATTATAATAATTCGCTAACCTGAAATAAAGCCATTTTGGGATGATTCCTCTTATTAACCATGATTCCAGGGTTCGGTCGCAGTGAGGTCGTTATAATTTACCCAGATTTTTGTATCACGATTCCCATTATATATCAAATTCCCATTATCTATCATACATATATATATATTCCCATATATTTCCATGATATATCATACATATTATATTCCCATTATTATATATCTGGGTAAATTATAATAATTCGCTAACCTGAAATAAAGCCATTTTGGGATGATTCCTCTTATTAACCATGATTCCAGGGTTCGGTCGCAGTGAGGTCGTTATAATTTACCCAGATTTTTGTATCACTATTCCCATTATATATCAAATTCCCATTATATATCATACATATATATATATATATTCCCATATATTTCCATGATATATCATACATATTATATTCCCATTATTATATATCTGGGTAAATTATAATAATTCGCTAACCTGAAATAAAGCCATTTTGGGATGATTCCTCTTATTAACCATGATTCCAGGGTTCGGTCGCAGTGAGGTCGTTATAATTTACCCAGATTTTTGTATCACTATTCCCATTATATATCAAATTCCCATTATATATCATACATATATATATATATATTCCCATATATTTCCATGATATATCATACATATTATATTCCCATTATATATTATAAACCATTATATATACATCATATGTCCATCATATTCCCATGGCTCTCCCAGCGCCTGAAGGCGCTCTTGGGATCCAGCAAGGACGCTTCCGGCTCCACCCGGAAGATGGTCACACCCTAACGGCGAATGGCGGTATCGTAAACGTCAGCTGGTGATAGGAATAGTATGTGGTTAATGATA